AAAAGAGAAACTGCTGTTTTCTTTTGAATTAGATGATGGTCTTGAAGTTGGCTGTTAGAAAAGAATGATTAAAACGTTTAAGCTTACCGATTACGAATATGTTCATGGTTGGGAAGTCATTTAGAATGTAGGTAGGTACAGCTGTACATTTTTATCTTCAATCATTAGCGAACCAAATCTAGCAGTATATTAAATGCTACACCATGATCCCTTTGGGTTATCCAAAGAATGAAATTATATTAGGAAATTTGTTTTACTACATTAGTTTTGTACCTGGAAACATCGCTGGCCAGGTACTGACTAAAGGTGTCTCTGCCGCCTCCCGGGCACACGCTTTTTAGACTGTTTTTCTCAGCCCCCCTTGCAGGTCGGTGTGCATCCGTGCCTGAGTTCTGGCAAATGGAATGCAGCTGGAAATGATACGTGCCGCTTTCCGCTCTGATCCATAACAATTTTCTTGTGCAACCAGTTACTCTGTCTTCCTCCACCTACTGGCTGGGTGCAGACAGTCCTGCAAAGCATCTGCAGCCCTAACCGATGGCTGTGGCACAAGATGGAAGTGGTCGGTCCTTGAACAATCAGTTGGAAGGCCACCTCAAGAACATTTGCGCCTGTCACATGAATAACGGTTTAAAAAAGTTTTTTTAACATTTATTTTTGAGAGGGAGCGAGAGAGACAGAGCACAAGCAGGGGAGGGGCAGAAAGAGGGAGACGCAGGATCCGAAGCAGGCTCCAGGCTCTGAGCTGTCAGCACAGAGCCCGATATGGGGTTCGAGCCCACAAACTGTGAGATCATGACCTGAGCCGAAGTCGGACACTCAACCGACTGAGCCACCCAGGCGCCCCTGAATGACAGTTTCTTAAGCTACTAAGATTTTGAGGATTGTCATAGCAGTTAGGCTACCTTGCCTAACACCGAGAGCAAAAAGAATTCAATAAAATTCACCTACTGCTGATTTGAAAAAATTGTCAGGATTCATTATTAACTCATTAAAAAAGATCTAATTTCTCTCAAATGCCAACATTGGTTTTTTAATTTTATTTATTTGGAGAGAGAGACAGCGGGGGGAGGGGCAGAGAGAATGCCAAGCAGGCTCCATGCTGTCAACGCAGAGTCTGACACAGGGCGCAGACTCCCAGATAGCGAGATCGTGACCTGAACGGAAACCAAGAGTCGGACGCTTAACCGACTGAGCCACCCAGGTGCCCCAACCAACACTGTTCTTTAAATTTTTTTTTTTTTAACGTTTATTTTTTTGGGACAGAGAGAGGCAGAGCATGAACGGGGGAGGGGCAGAGAGAGAGGGAGACACAGAATCAGAAACAGGCTCCAGGCTCTGAGCCATCAGCCCAGAGCCCGACGCGGGGCTCGAACTCACGGACCGCGAGATCGTGACCTGGCTGAAGTCGGACGCTTAACCGACTGCGCCACCCAGGCGCCCCCAACCAACACTGTTCTTAATGATGAGCTACTGTAGACATTTTCATTAAAATAAGACAAGGATGCCTGCTGCTACCACTATTAACAATAACAGGATCCCAGTTCAAGCTAATAGATGAGAAATAAAATTACCGTTGAGATGAAAAGATCATCTACATTGAAAACCCAGGAAAAATCAACTACAAAATTATTAGAGTGACTAACATACTAATGGTCACCCATTACACAATCAATATTAAAAATTCATGTTTTTATATGATCTTTAAAAATTAAATTCTATATCTGCAAATATACACAAAAGAATCATAAAACAGGAAGATCCTATTTTAAAATAACAGGAGCATCTAGATGGCTCAGTAGGCTAAGCATCCAACTCTTGATTTCAGCCCAAGTCGTGATCTCACGGTTTGTGAGATCAAGCCCTGCATTGGGCTCTGTGCTGACAGCATGGAGCCTGCTTGAGATTCTCTCTCCCTCTCTCTGCCTCTCTTTGCCTCTCTCTCTGCCCCTGTCTCTCTCTCTCTCACACACACTTTCTCACACTCTCTCACTCTCACACACACGCCCCCCCACACACTTAACATTTCACCGAATTGAATGTGTTAACTAAAGCCTGTGCTTTATTCAGATCCCCTTAGTTTTTATCTAAGATCCTTTTTCTTGGATATCACATTACATTCAGTCACCATGTCTCCTTAGGCATCTCTTGACTGTGACAGTTTCTGACTTTGTTTTTGACGATAGCTTGGAGTGCTGGTCAGGTATTTTGTAAAATGTCCATCTGCTGGGACTTGTCTGCTCTTCTCACGAGACTGAAGTTACGGGTTTAGGGGAGGAAGATCACAGAGGCCAGGCGCCATTTCCATCACGTCGTATGAAGGGTACCTACTCTCAACATGCCCGACTACGGATGTTGACTTCTGTTACGTGGCTGAGGTGTTTTGTCAGGTTTCTCTGTGAAAGTTAGTCTTCCCCAGCCCCATTTCCTGCTGTGTTCTTTGGAAGGAAGTCACTACGTGCTGCCCAGGCTTAAGGAGGGGAGATTTATATTGCACCCCATGGATGGAATATCTATATAAATCAGTTTGATAAGTACTTAGGAACATGATTCCCGGATCATATAAGACCAGTTTGTGTGGAGAAACTGTTTTCCAACGTGGCCGTACCATTTTGCATTCCCAGTAGCAATGAGAGTTCCTTGTCGCTCTGTACCCTTACCAAAAATTGATATTGTCGATTTTTTCCAACCATTCTAGTAGGTGTGTAATGGGGTCTTGTTTTTCCTTGCTGATACAATTTAGAGAGAAAGGGGGGAGGGGCAGAGAGAGCGAATCACAAGCAGGCCCTGTGCTGTCAGTGCGAACCATGAGATCATGACCTGAGCTGAAATCAAGAGTCAGACGTGAGCCACCCAGGCTCCCCTCCTTACTGATATTTTTAAATTATATGAGATTAACAAGTCCATGCCTGGTAATTCTGGGGTCCCTCTGGGTCTTCTTCTCTTGTCTGATGCCCGCGCCAATTCTTATTCACGTGTTGTTTTTGTACACCTACTTCTGTTTGATGACACGATGAATATTGTATTTGAAAAAGTATTTGTAGAGCACATAGAATGACGTTTCTTCCTCCAGGCAAGATTTCTATTTGCTTCTGCCTGGTGCCGGAGGGGACTGCTAATCCGGAACTACTTCTTCTAAATCCAGGGCAATCTAGTCCACCCAGGTAACTTGAAGCAGGGCTGCTTTCCTTCACACTTACTTCTAGGAAATATCCCGCTGGAGTCACAATTCTAAATGCAGTGTGGTGTGCAGACACCCTTTCCCTTGGACCCCAGCGTGCTGGGGCTGGGAATTAACCATCCAATCACTAAATGTTCCCTGGGTGAAAGAGGCTCCAATGGTTGGGGTTGGCAGTGTGAATCTCCTTCTGCCACATCTTAGCCTGGCGACTCCTCGCTCATTTTTTAAAATGTTTTAAGCATGAGACTGTTTTATTCCCCACTGCCAGGAGTGAAAGCAGGGTCCTGGGCTCCCTTTGCTTTACCCCATCCTTCAGATCTCACACTGGCTTTAAAAGGTTATGGTAAATATGGCTGTATAATGTATATTCTGGAAAGAAACTGTAACAGATGAAAAATAGTCCTGTCTTCTCTTCCAGTTTAAAAAAAAAAAAAAGCTTCCAAGTTATTAATCATGGGGCCACTGATCGGAAAAATTCTACCACTTTCAGGGTCAGGATCACTAAAACTAATCACACAATACTCCATAATCTCTCACACAAAGAAAATTTTATTGCTGGAAAGACATACAATGTTTTTGTATACAAAGTTCAAAAATGTGGAAAAGTTAGTATTTACATTTTCCATACAGTACATGATAATCTTTTTATGCTTTAATAGAATGCTAAATAGAAAAAACCCAGAAGCATCAGAAAACCTTAAGGTATAACACTTAATTGAAAACAAAAATTAGGAAAAATATTTAATATTTTAAAGTATGTAATATAAAATACATTTTGTTTATCAGGACTACATTTTTTCCCCCATTTGATTGGCACTAATATTGCTAAACACACTTTTAAATGTTCGGCAAAATCCTATGTAAGTGCAGAAATGACATCTACGTAATGTCTGAGAAAGATACTATATAAACTTTAGTATTCTAAAAGTTAAAAAATTAAAAAAAGTATAAGCAACTGTAAATGGTCATAAATATACAATCTTGAGTGGGCATAAAACTTTTTTTTTTAAAGAAAATCAATTGCACTTGGCTTAAATTCTAAAAGAGTAACATTTCATCTAATCCTTTAGAACATGTTGTTTAAAACTGTAGAAGGATCAGTGAGCAGCATAACATAATCAACGGTGGATGTCAAGCACCTTGTTTTAGAGGCACAGCAGATCTATGAAATTCCTAGAGCAAGACTCTATAAAATTCACACAGGGAACATAAGGTGGAATAAGCGGACTTTTAAAGGTGAATTCCCATGACAGCACCTTCCGGTGTGTCAAATATTTTTTATACTGTAAAAGAATACTATTTTTCAATTTTCTTAGAAACTCAGTGTAAAGGCTACCAAAGCAGTGTTAAAGTATCGAATAACATAAAAATATTTGAATAGCTGTTCCAGGATTTCTAAGAAAAGTTCAAATACATATATTTTCAAATATATAAAAAAGATACAAAGTTTTAAATACTTCAGCAAAGAAATATCTTGATTTCATACCATAAAAGTAAAATAGCATATAGTACATCTTAAAATACTTTTAGCAAGAGGAGAATCTTCATAAATAGAAAAAGAAGATTCCTCTAACTCCCTCCTCCCACACAACTTAAAAAAATATTATTAACCTGCCCATTTCCGCTTTCTGGGTATATTGCCATCGTTAACCTCTGTGCGAAACAAATCCCCTAATTCTCGGAATCCATCGTTTCCAGTGTAACAGTAGGCAAGGTAGCTGTCAGTGCAAGAGAACAGAAGAGTGGTGTTGATAAGACAGCGTGCTGTCCGCTCCAGTGTCACATGAATCCACTTCTCAGCGATGGGATCGCCTGTTTTTCAAGTATCGGAGTGGCCGCCAGCGGCCTGCTCTTTTCCACCTCCCGAAGCTGAGTGAACCAGCAGGGACGTGGAGCCTTTCAGGCTGCCTGGCTCCGAAGAACCTGGGACCTGCAAGCCGCTGCTCTGCGCCGGGCCGGTCTCGGGGACATCACTTTTTGGAGTCACCCTAGGTAAAAAGACGAAAGCTGACACACACACAGACCAGAGCACAACTGTGATGCCAGATGTCCTTACAGCTGCTACCCACTTTCCACGAGTTTTATTCGCAACCAGTATCCACCTTGATCAGAGGACAGTTAACTACGACTCTGTGTGTGTACTCTAACACCTCAAAACACGTCTACTTCATTTTCAAATACAATTTTCGCCAACTTCAGAAACTGCATTAAGGACCACCCGGGCACGGGCCGGACATGGCGCATCGTGGGGAATCACAACTCATACGATAGGATCCTGCTCTCCATTTAGCAATATTTTCCTCATTTCCCACCGTGGGTGAGATGTTGTGTAATTCCAACACAAAGATGAACTGGACCTCAGCTCTGCCTTCGAGGAATTTACAAATCGAGTGGAGTTTTAAAGGCACATGTCTATTTCCAGCATGCAAAAGCTGTCACAGGAACACAAAGAAGGCACATTTGGTCTAGTTTGGGAGGGTGAGGTAAGAAACCTGGAGACCTAAAAGTACTTAGCTGTCAGCATTCTGGCTAATTCGATATTTACCTGTGTTTGGATCACCAGTGACCGTTTGGAAAAATTCATTAAAGATAATGTCACCGTGCTTTCATGTCCAGAAAATAAAAAACCTTTTATAATCATCTTCACATAAAATGACAAATGCCTTTTAGTACTATCATACAGTACTAATTAAAACTTAATAGCCTGTATTTCAGAAGGATCGTAAACATTTATCTACATATACATGCGATCCTTAACAATTTACCACAGAAATGAACATTGCTACTTGAACAACATTCACGAAGGCTCTTTTCAAAGCTGAGAATTAAAGTATCAAACAGCACGTTTATAGGCCGAACCCAAACTTCCTTGGATGAAGCGTATGGACGCACCATCTTCTTTCCAGATGCGCTACGCTTTAATAAAAACATATATAATGCAGTATTCAAAATAGCCCTGATTGAAGATCGCAAAATCAAAGCTCACCTTCCTTCACTCCGCATACTTTCGGATACACTGATCTTATCATTCCCTTTGCCTGCCCGGCCTTTCCCGTCAGCCTGTTCTCCACAGAGTTTGGAGCTGGATGCTGCTGGGGAGGCCGGATCCCCACAGTCCTGTTCTCTTGATCTGGGGGTGCTCGCTCCATCTGCTCTCACCTCCCTCACTGATGTTTCCGGGGAGGTTTGTATTTCTGTCAAAGTTTCTTGTCCTAAGTAATCGTGGTCCGTGATCGCTACTGCGGAAGTGCCGTGATTGGCCGTGGCACCTGTGCTCGTTCCCATGGATTTGGAAATGACCTTCAGCTTGTGTGAACTTGGTTTGTAGTGCTTCTTTTTGTGTTTAACTTTAGAATTGTGCTTTAAGAAGAACTCACACGACTCCTGTAGTACTCTTCGACTTTCACTGATTGGACTGAGAGAAACCAAGGAGAGGGTTGAGTTGGTAAGTGTTACATGGTAGAAACCAAAAAGCGTATCCTATCCTGTGCCAAAAAACCTTAATCGGTCAAGTTAAGAATTCTAAATGATTTATACTTGTAAAATCTGGGATTATAAATACTAGGAGATAGAAGTAGATTGTCATGAAGTGAACTCTTTTGTGCATACATTGTTAGTTGCCTTTGTCAGCATAAATAGACTGGCAAGGAATTAGGCAAAATCAAAGGATGAGGGCCAGGAAACTTATAGCGGCATAAAGTAGGAGACCATCTGTGTATCACATATAAATACATCAAATATAAAAGTAAACCAGAGGAGAAAGGACGTAGAATATAATTAATGGTCATTGTTAAATTCAATGATTTGCTTTCTAACAACAAAGCTAGCAAGTTATAATGAAGTGTGAGTATATAAATACAGGATAGATGTGTCATAACAGTGTAAAAAAATTAAGTCCAGTTAATGCAATTTTCAGACTTCAAAACTTAGAAAAGATCGATAGTTCTGAAAATTTTACCACAAAAAAAGTTTATTAATCAAACCAATGGGGAACAGTTTAAAAAACTCTCTAGTACATTGTTGACAGGAGAGAGTGTACATTGTATATAACTAAAACGAATTCATAAATGTAAGTCTACTATCCTGTTATACTATGTAAGTTTAAAATTTTACCATCTTGAGGCAAATAAGTGACATTTTAAGGCAATACTGTGTATAATAAAATTTAAAAGTAGTAAATAATGATCATATATTTGAATCATACTTTATAGATTTCCTTACATATATTTGATCCCACTTAGCCTTTTATCACTGATTTTAAAAAATTACTTAAAATGCTGCACCCAAAATAATCCAGTGATAACAGTTATAATATTAAATATAAGCCAGGGAAAGAAAACGCACAGTTTACACATCTTTCATACTTCAACAGAATACTACAGGCCAAAGACTATTATAACGAGTGCCAAAATAAAGTAGAGCTCTCCACGAAAAAGATTTCCAAACTTGAAACAACAGTTGATATAATGAAACGCCAGTACAATGAGGACTTGAATAGTCCCTTGGTATTTGTTCTACTTAAAACAACATCAGATAATTCAATAGGTTCTTACTCTCTCTTGCGATTTCGTCTAAAAAACCCTGCCCACTCCGTGCATGTCTTTTTGCTTCCGACCCAGAAGACCGCAGAGATGCCAACAATTAATGTCATCAGATATTTTATCATAAATAAAGCCAATTCTGGTCGAGTTTCTGTTCTGGCCTACAAAAAAGTGAATAATAAAAATGTCAGTGATTCATTCAGAGTGGAGAGCAGTCTATATAGTCAATGTAAAACTTGAACAAAATATAAATCTTCGGTCTGTTTTAGTATAGAACATTTGACGTAGCATAATATAATGAATAGTGCTACTTTAAGTATAATACATTCTTCACTGAAGTTCTGAATATAGAACTTTCATCTGGGTATCAAAATATATAGCTAGAAAGGAAAAAAACACCTAAATATATTTAGGAAGAATATCCGAAATCTTGGTTTGATTTCCCAACATTTTCCACCTCTAACTATAGCAGCCTCTTATAATTGTCAAAATATTTGGCTTGAAGTATTTATCTACTTTCTTTTATTATAGTCTACCAAAAAATTATACTTAAACCATTGGAACAACATACTATTGTAGAGTACGCATTGTTGATGTTTGTTATAAAAATTTGGTTGGTTGGAGTGAAATAAGTATCCGTATACTACAGTAAAATAAGTTCTGTTTTTGTAAGCCTATACTAAACAATGATACGATAATATGATCAAATTAAATATACCCAAATATAACATGATCATATACCCAAATATAATATGATCAAATTAAATATACCCAAATAAGGTTCCCACCACTGAAGAATGAAAAGCAACTCCCAAATCAGAAGTTATTTCTCCTTTTTTCCCTGTGACAGACTCATTCTTCTGTTTCTGTTCCTCATTATTATTAATCTGCCTTTGCAACCAAATTTACTTTTTAGAAGAGTAGCTAGAGGAGGCACTTTACTACTGTAAACAAAGCCTACACTTGAGGAAAGAACTCTTGAGACACTGACCCCAGTTTCAACTGATGCACAGGGAATCATCCCCTCTGTCTACTGGATTTTCTTATCTGAAATCTAATGTCATGTTCATGATTAGTTCGAGTGTATTTCCAGGGAACATTCTCTATGTTAAAATTAAACAGTGAACTAATACAAATGCTCTCTTACCTGATAAGGACACGGGATGTGGTACTGACGACAGTGGTCAGAGACCCAAGTTATCTCCCAGGTCATCCTGTTCACTTGCTCATAGACATAACATCCGAGAAGTGTCACTAATGGTACAAGATAGAGGCCACTAAAGACTCCAATTCGAATCATAAATTTCTTTAGTTTCTCTTGGTTCCGGCCATCGTGTTGTATAACTTGTCGAACATGATTTAAGGAAATAATGCCAGCTAAAAGAAGAGACAGCCCAACAAACACACAAAAGCACAATGGCAAGAGCACAAAGTAGCGAGAAGCATCCAGGTCATACAGGCCGACAAAGCAAACGCCACTAATGTTGTCTCCTTCAACTTTGTTCATAGCAAGAAGCATAACAGTCAGAAAACCTGGTATTCCCCACGCAACAGCATGAAACCACACAGCTTTTTGTTCAATGGCTTCACAACTCCACTTTCTTCCTGCAGCTAAGAACCAAGTAATGGTAAGTATCACCCACCACACGGTGCCAGCCATTGTGAAAAAATACAAAAACATAAAGAGAACAGTGCAAGCCTTATTCTGAGATCCTAGAACTACTGTGTCACCGAGTTCTAGCTTCTCATCTGCCTTATTGCAGGCTGTGCGATTGCCTAGCAAGAATCCTATAAAGTACATCAGAGAGACAATGCTGTAACAGACAGAGTAATAGATAATTGGTCTCTCTGGGTATCTGAATCTTTTAACATCAATTAAGAAAGTAAGGAATGTGAACAGGGTTGCACAAAGACAAAATATTGAAACTATTCCGATAAAACTTTTTGCGAACTCTAGCTCATCACTTTTAAAATACATGTTAGGGCACGGAGGTGCACACTGGTCAATTCCCAGAAACTTATAGCCTTGTCCCCCAGAAGTCTTAAGATGCCTGGGACACCAAAATCCAATGTCTCTTTGGACTTGCTCTGTTTTCTTCTGAGGACCAAGAAACTGTGTGTGTGGATCAAAAGTTACAGGAACAGTCTCATCACAGTATTGCAATCTGTAAAAATTATAAAAATTAAATATATAGAGTCAACATTTTGACCGATTCACTATTTTAATGTATGCTTTCCAACTATAAAATATTTCCTCATGCATTCATAATTGATGGGAAGACACACAACCTGAACAGATCATAGGTTAGAGCTTTGAAGTTAACTCAAAACTTGTGGTTGTTAGTGAGGCCCCAGTGCACTCACATATACTTAATACAAGGCATGTGAACATTAAAATTCCCTTACTCAAAAAACAATTTTTATTTTTTAAACTTTATTTTAAAGGAAGCTCTACACCCAAGGTTGGGCATGAACTCACAACCTGAGATCAAGAGCTGCATACTCCACCAACTAAGCCAGGCAGGTACCTCTAACTAAGACTAAATATTTAAGAAAGCATTTATCCTAAAAACAAGGAATTTATCTTAATTAGCAGCCTCAAGACAGAAAAGTGCTGGGGCACCTGGGTAGCTCAGTAGGTTAAGTGTCCAACTCTGGATGTTGGCTCAGGACATGATCTGATGATTTGTGAGTTTGAGCCCATGTTAGGTTCTGCACCGACAGCATGGAGCCTGCTTGGGCTTCTCTCTCCCCCTCTCTTTCTCCCCCTTTCCTGCTTGTGCATACTCTCTTTCTCAAATAACCTTAAAAAAAAAAAAAAAGTGCTGGCTTGTCTGTGTACATCATTTGGAGTATAAGTCTTGGGGAAAGTCACTTTTTTTTAGTGCCTACAGGTAAAGTAGATCAGCCATAGAACTAAGGGGATAGCGGCTGAAACGAGCCCCTTCTGTTTCCAGGACTGACAGGGTAGAGTTCTCTCACATCACCATTTTGTTTCAGTTTGGCTGTTTTTGTTTTTGTCTTTTTAATGTTTGTTTATTTTTGAGAGAGAGACAGAGTGCAAGTGGGGTACGGGCAGAGAGACAGAGGGAGACACAGAATCTGAAGCAGGCTCTAGGCTCTGAGCTGTCAGCACATAGCCTGATGTGGGGCTTGCTTAACCAGCTGAGCCACCCAGGCACCTGGCTGTTTGTGTTTTTTTTTTTTAATTGAAGTATAGCTGACATACAATATTATGAGTTGCAGATGTATAACCCAGTGATTCGACATTTGTATACATTGAGAAATGGTCACCACAATAAGTCTAGTTACCATCTGTCACCTTATAAAGTTAACACAATGTTACTATATTCCCCATGCTGTACATTCTATCCCCATGACATGTTTATTTTCTAACTGGACGTTTGTACTCCTTGCCTCCCTTGTTTATGGGCAGACCAGAGTGATACACAGGTATATTTCTATTTTGTGTAACACTTTATCACTCAGTAGAGTATCTACACACCAGTATTAATTGGGAGGATCTATATGGTTTAAAACTGAGTGGGAGTTTTTAACAAGGAAACAATTTATTTTATTTTACTTTACTTTTTAAAAGATTTTATTTTTAAGTAATCTCTATACCCAATGTGGGGCTTGAATTCACAACCCCAAGATCAAGAGTTGCGCACTCCATGGGCTGAGCCATGTTAAACAAGAAAACATTTAAAATACTCTTTAGATAAAAGTAGAAAATAATAATATGTATGCCCATAAAAAGAACACATATATCTACCAGCATTTCAAAACTTATTATGTCAATTTTGCTTTATATCTTTTAAAACAAAACAATATAAGATTAGAGATTGGGTGGGACCCCTTTCTGGTCCTATTTTTTCTTCCCAGAAATACTCATCACCACAAGTTCAGTTTTCATTCTCTTTATGAATTAAAAAAAAATTTTTACTATGTTATTTTCTAACCATAATGTTACATAGTATTATTTGGCAGGTTTGAATTTTATATAAATGATATCATGCTGTATATATCCTACCTTAGCATCCTTTTTTTTACTGAACACTAATTTTTGGATTTATCTGTGTTTACAGATATGGATCAACCATTAATTTTGTCAACTGTATCGTAGTTTAATGTGTACGTGTGCCACAGTTTACATTTATTACACATTCTTCTACAATGGGCTTTCATTTTTTCCATTTTTTAAAAAATTAGGAATAATGTGGTAATCAATATTCTTGTGTATGATTCCTTGTTTCTGTAAACGTTTCTATAGAAGGGGACCACCTACAGTGTAAGGTATGAACATCCTCAACTTTGTATGATCAAGTGTTCTTAAAAACAATTATGCATCTACTGGAAGTATATGACTTCCACAAAGGTTCTATACTTTATTCTACAGATAAAGAAACAAAAATGTAGACACAGCTTCCTCCCCAGCTTTATAATGCCAAGTCTCATTGTATCCATAGAATATTTCAAATTCATGATCCCCCAATGTCTACAGAATAAGAGACCAAAGTAATTAATGAAGGTCAATGAGTAAAAAGGTCACTGAATTGATAATAAGTTCATTCCCTCCCAGTTTGGGTCAAAGGTACCATTACATGTTCTCATACAACTGTGTACTTCTCTATTGTATCTAGCATGGTTATAATTTTATACTTATTACTGTAATTATTTATCTGTTCCTTCCACCCCAAAGTTCCCACTGTAAGTCTGTTTTTGCTCACCATTGTGTCCAAAACACTTATCACCCCATTAAGTGTGCAATATACATTTTTGAAATAATGAAAGCCTGTCACAAACATTCTGGAAAACTAACACCAACATTAAAATATCATTGGAAGCTTTCAGTTGAAAACATGACTTACCTGTCACATTCAAGTTCTTCAGGCCATCGGATACCAAAAGTGTCAATTAACTTTTTGCAATCAGAATATACTTTCTCACAAGATTTACGACAAGGTGGAACCACACGAATTTGTTCTGTACAGGTTGGTACAAAAGCTTTGCAAAGGAAAGTTTCAACATTTGGTGAACATTCCAAATTTGCAAGAGGAAGAAAAAGCTATTAAGGAAAACAACAAGATAAGGTTAGAAAACATTTTAAGAGCCAGTGAATGGAATTCATTTACTATTTAAAGTATATACCTTTTCACTTATACTCCAAAAGAATCTTTGCCTCACTCTCAATACAACTTTTTTCACTTTTATTTATTTAAAGTAATCTTTGTGCCCAATATGGGGTTCAAATTCACGACCCGAGATAAAGAGTGAACCAACTGAACTAGCCAGGCACCCCTCAATATAATCAAATTTTAAGGAAATAATTTCAAGTTAGTCTGTTAGACTTATGAATCCTTCATATACAATGGAATATTACTTTATTCAATTATACATTTTTCAGGAAGACATGCTAAGTCAAAACAAATCAAAAGCATGAGTTGATTGCTACATGAAATAAACTACAATATTCAATTTATAAGCATATGCTGAATACCCGAACACTGTACTGAGCACTCTAGAAAATGAAGGAGTGTTTGGGGCAGAGCATGAAAAAGGCATGAGGATCACTAGAGTGTGTACATGCAGGGCAAGAAGCTCAGTCTGGCTAGAACATAAGGTCAAAACAGTGGCATTAAGTGTAGAGAGTGAGGTTGGAGAGGTACACTGGGCCTGATCCTGGAAAGCACAAATAGCCTGCTAAATTGCCTGGATTTTCAAATCCAGGAATGAAATCCTATCGGAGAGTTTTAAGCAGGGAGTATCTCTAGAGTCTGATAGCTGAGTTGGAATGCTAGTTCCTCACTTACTGGCTGTGTAACTTTGTCAAATTATGTGACTTTTCTGTGTCTTAGTTTCTTCACCTGTAAAATGGCAATAATAATAGTACCTGTCACGTAAGATTCTTATGAGTACTGAGTTAATAAATATAAAGCACTTCGAACAGTGTCTGGCATATAGTGAGCACTCAATAAACATTAGTTACTGTGAAGATTACACTTTATAAGAATGCAGATGGGTTCTGGATAAACCTGCACATTAACCACATTATGTTTGCCTCCTTTCTCTCCTCATGGTTCCTCACTAAAATTATAATGAAGAATAAAAGGTTCTAACCCATTAGTACATGAACAGGAGAGACTACACTAGCAGATCTGACTTTTCCAAAGAATAAAAGCAAAACAAAAAAGAAAGCCCCAACCTTCCAAGACAGAAAGCTATTACAGGAGTGAAAAGTGATTTAATGGGATTCGGGGTGGACTACAAAATAGGAGTGGAGGGATTCAGATGACCATGAGTGGATGTGCCCTGAAGATTCTGAGAGTCTCAGTTCTTTGAAGTAGCAAGTAGCACAAAAGGCCAATATTGTAGGACTGTTTACTAATCAATTTCTCTCCATGCCATCCCAACTCCAACCCCTACCCCAGAAGCCAGATGACTACTGCATTCTACCAGGAGAAATGGAGCTAGAGATATTCTAACTTGGGGTTTCAGACACAGAGCCGGGCAGGGATATGGCACAAGGTGAAAAGAGGGGGACTGAATAACTATCTACAGAAACATGGAGCCCTCATCTTGTTCCTGTTCTGTTCAGGCACATACCCATCATCCCCATTCTTTGAAAAAACTCAACAATTTTGAAGAGCTCTACATAATGACAAAAAGCCAGTCAACTTTGAGCTCACCCTACTATGAAGCCCACCATTCGTGCACACGGACCTTTTTAGTGTCCCACACACGTACAACTGGGCAGCCAAGGATCATCAGGCATTTGAAGAAAGCCTCCCGTATCAAAAACAGACCAAAACAAGCAAGCAGATCATTGAATATTTGGAGGAAAGAGAGATTATGCAGGGAACAAAGGAAAATAAATTACAAAACAAAAACCTAAGTATCTTAAGTGAGAAGTTATTGCATCCATTTAAAAAGAATAGCATGCTATGGAAAATTAAAATAAGACAGCTCAAATAAAAAAACTCTACAGAAGGACTAGAAGTTAAGCTGAGGGAAGAGATGGACAATCGGAGAGAAAATCCTCCCAATCAGAGGATCGGTCCAAGTGTCCAACACATTACCACAGGAGTTCTAGAAAGAACAACAGGGAAAGGGGGAGTGTAGATGATAATCAAATGAAGAATATGAGACCATTTCTCAGAACAGAAGGGTACTAGCTCCCAAACTGAAAAAGCTGGCATCACACTGCAATCTCACTACTAAAACATTTCTGGACCAAAACTTCAGTCAATTAACTTTCTTTTACAGAGATCTCTCTCACATTCTCCTCTCTTTCAACATCCCAATTCCAAACCTATGCTTCAGTGATTATCCCATCACACAAACTTGTTCTATTATCTCCCACCATAGACACAACACAACAAAACAATATCTTTCCTTGACTCCCCATCCCAATCCCCATCCACTCATTATTCCATTTTTCTGTTCTCCTTTATAGAAAAACTCCTCAAAATAGTTGTCTTTACTTTCTCCAATTCTGCTCTTCCCATTCCCTCTTGAGCCCTCTCTCCAACCATCCTCATGCTTCAGTGAAACTGCTTGTCATGGCCACCAATAAACTCCATGTTGTCAAATCCAATAGTCAATTCTGAGTCCTCATCCTACTCAGCTCTCAAGAGAGTTTTACATAGTGGATCCTGCCCTCCTCCTGAGACACTTTTCTCAACTGGCTTCTAGAATACGAATTCTTCTGGATTCCTAACTATTTATTGCTGTTCTTTTTCTGATCTTCCATTTCCCAATTCTAAATATTGAAGTGCTCCAGAGCTCAATCCTCAGACCTCTATCTTATCTATACTCACTCCTCAGGGGAAACTCATCCTGAACCATGGTGTTCATTACCAACTGTGCATGAAGGACTGCCACAGTTATCTCCAGAGCCATCTCTCCTGTGAACCCTTGAGTTGATGGCCATCTGCCTCCTGGAGAATTTCACTCAGCTGTCAATCCGCATCTCAAACCCACCATGTCCAAAACATAACTCAACCCTAAACAATCCCTCACCTCAGTCTTCCCTGCCTCAGTAAGGTGGTGCCACCATTCACCAAGTTGCTCTGGCCAAGGATCTAAAGATTCATCCTTTACTCCTCTCTTTCTCTCACCCCATATGCAATCCAGCAGCAAATCCTATTGGTTCTCCCTACAAGATCTATTTCAAATCTGACCATTTCTCACTATTACTAAGTTACTATGTCTAAACCATTATATCTTGCACCTAAGCTACTGAAATATTTTCCTAATAGTCTCACTACTTAACATTCTTACAAATCTCACAGTTAATTTCCATGCAGATCCACACTCCAACTAATGTGATTTTTTAAAATGTAAGTTTGTCCTTGTTCAAAAGACTCTATCAGAATAAATTCGAGAGTCTTTATCAAGTCCTGTGAGGCCTGAAATTTCACGGGACACTGTGGAGGAAGAGTCTTCTAGGTAAAGAGAAGAGCAAATATAAATTTGTAGCCTGACTCCTGGCTACAAATCCACCTTCCTACCATTCTTTTCCTCATTTCCTACCACTCTTTCTCTTATTCACTCCATTGTCACCAAATTGGCCTTTTGCTTCTCATCATTCCATGTATACTTATGCTTAAGAATCTTTATATTTGCTGTTCCCCTCACATAGAGCACTCTTCCTCCACAAAGTCCCATGACTCGTGTCCTCATTTGATTTTCTGCATAACTGTCACCTCAGAGCACCATTCTCTGCCCACCCTTTGTAAAAAATGATCCTGCCATTCTCTGTTCCATTATTGTTTTGTGTTTCTTTATAGTCCTTATCACTATCTGACATTTCATTAAATATTAGTTTATTTCTTAATTTCTGCCTTCACCACTAGAATGTAAATTTCATGAAGGGAAGGGATTTTGTCTATTTTTTTTTCACGGCTATATCCCTCATGCTTAGAACAGTGTGTGTGTGTGTGTGTGTGTGTGTGTGTGTGTGTGTAATTATTTCTCTATCAATATTTGTTAAATAAACCAATCAGAGCAATGAATGAACAAGGCATGTCAATAAAAAATTTCAGAGCATCAAGATAAAGCAATCATAAAAGCTTCCAGATAGAAAAGAACAGGCCACATAAAAAAGAATTTAATTCTGAGTATCTAATAATTCAGATACTAGGAGACAGTTCAAAAATAATTTTAATATTCTGAAACAATATTATTTAACCTAGAATTCTATACCCAATGGAACATTTAGGTGAGAGTAAAATAATGACCTTTTTGGCCCTCTAAGAAATAAAAAAATGTTAACTTTCAAGTGTCCCCTTTTAGGAAACAACTAGAGGATGTACTATTCCTAAAACCAACAGATGGAATATAAACCAGAAAGGAAAATGACATAGGACTCAAGAATTAGTTGATCCAACACTGGAGAATGGCAAGAGGAAGCCTTAGCATGATAGCTATGATTCTAGTTCAGAAAGCAGTTGGGGCATATTGATGGACAGCCAGCTGAAGGAGGAATGTCTCCAAAGGAATAGGAATGGGGTACTGGAAATGACGGGTTATGTGATATACTGAGCATCTGAAAAAAATTGCTGTTAGATGTCTAAAAGTCTGTTGGGACATCTGAAAAAAATTAGCTACAGGTACATAGAAAACAAAGCAAATGGGGAAAAATGCATTTGCTGCATTAACCAAGAGGGAAGATATTAAAGAAATAGATGCAATCAAAGCATCTGACTCAGTAATGTACACTATTTAATGTTCCTAGTAATGCTAGAACTGATGATTGATTTAACCAAAAACTGTATTATAGAAGGTAGGGAGGATAAGTAAAAATGGTAGAGTAAGAGAAATATATTACCAACTACCATATAGGAAAGAATAAACAGATACTGCCTGAAGTTCTAAATGGATGAACCAATAAGTAACAGACGAAGAGGGGCACATGCGCGGCTCAGTCAGTTGAACATCCAACTCTTGATTTCAGCTCAGGTCACGATCTCCCTATTTGTGAGATCAAGCCCCACATCTGTCAGCACAGAGCCTGCATGGGATTCTCCCTCTCTCTCTGCCCCTCCCCCACACATTCTCGCACAC